ACCCCATCTCCTCCCTGTGAAAGAGGCTCCCAATCCCTGCCTTGCCATGGGGGGAATCAGGAAGTTCTTATATTCCAAAGCCTGCAAGGGTTATTAAGCATGCCTTCCCCACCGTGTCCTTTCAAAGAGTCAGTCCGGATTGAGGGCACACAACCTATTTTAATACAGTGAGAATTTCCTGCTGTACCCACATGCCTGTCAGGCAGGTCATGACATTCAATCTCCTGACTCATTCAGTGCAGTCTAACTACATGCACAAATCATGCTTTTATGGAATATACTCTCAAAGCCTGAGATATTTCCCTCAGCCTCTCAGATCCCACATAGTAGAAGCAGAGACTTTCTGGGTCAGCCCACACAGCCTGAAGCCCAAACAGTGGTTTGGGTTCTTGGACTCTCACCACTGACCTCCCCTCACACATTTTTGCCTTTTTCCAGGAGCCTGGTGGTGTCATCATGCTTCCCAACCCCATAACCTCTTCATCTCCGGACTCTCACAACCCCCTCCCCACATCTCTTACCCACCAGGGGTCTTCTCAAACAGAAGACCTCAAGATGGGCTCTTCTCAAGGTCACCCTCGCCTCTACAGCTCTAGAGTGCTGCACCTCTCCTGCTCCGTTCCTCAAATGGAACTGGGGGAGAGGAAAGCGTGTGGACTCTGGACTCTGAGACTGAGTTCTCTCTTTGCTGCTTGCCCTGCTGCTTACCAGCCTGTGACCCTGGCCATGTCTCCCGGCTCCCGGGCTGCATTTTCTCCTGTGCGAGGGAGCCAGGGGTCCCTATTTCATAGGATTGTGAAGATTCAATGACATTAAAAGTAAGATGTGCAGCACAAGCCTTGCAGATCAGAGTGCATGCAAGAGGTGGTGGCTGCTCAGGGGTGGGCATGTGTGGCATCAGATCCTGGCTCTGCAGATGAGATACTTTAATCCCAGTAAACTTCAGTCTCCTCACCTTTCAGGGGGAATCATATCTCTCTCATAGGGTTAGTGTGAGGATTGAAAAGATAGTGCACTGTGTGCGGTACATGGGATATCGCTGTACCTTCCTTTCAATTTTTCTGTGAATCTAAAACTGCTCTTGAAAACTAAAGTCTTAAAAAAAACAGGGAATGACAGCCTCATCAAGATAAGAAATGAGTCTGAGGGCCAAGAACCCCACCCCCAGAGAGGAAGTGGATCTGTTTCTGCCCTGGTGCTTGAGGAGCCAGCCTGGGGTCCAGCACCAGCACCACCCCTGCCCCTCCCCCAGTACCATGTGATGGTCCCTCTGCATCTGTTCTCCCAGCCCTGCTTGGATGAATGAGACTAGCCCATTTTCACGGGAATGACTTTCCCCCTCACTGTGCTGGCTGGGGTTGTTGGGACACTGTCATTTCTCAGGGATTTCCCACAGTGTTGGCTCCGCCCTCCGGGTTGGGAGATAATAACCATCCCAGGAATTCGCAATAAATTTTTATTACTTAAGTTGGGGAAAAAAAGATAATGCATGATAAGGATGTGTCAATGAAGGATTATTGATTGTAACACAGGGACCACACTGCTGCAGGATGTGGCTAGTGGCAGACACTGTGTGTGTGTTTGGAGATGGGGGGTGGGGGAATCTCTGTATTTTCTGCTCGGTTTTGCTGTGAATCTAAAACTGCTCTAAAAAAGTCCATT